ATAATTGCGACTATCACAACGTTTATTTTACAACTGATTTTTTAACCGATTTATGGGACTAAATAGCTCACACTTAAGATATTTTAAACCAACGAACTCAATCATAAAGGACGTCTTTAGTTTTTGTTAAATAGGTAGCTGCACCTCAACTTGTGGTAGCATTTAACTGGACTGATAAAATAGGCTTAAAAAAACTAAGCAAGTCTTTGGACCAATATGTAAAATATGAAAATCTCTTCTTGTGAGAACAACATTTTTCAACAGAAAAATTGAAATCCAACTTTTAAATGGCTATGAGAGCTAGATTATATTCCCCAACAATACTCAACTTCTGTTATGCGTTGTCAACCGTAGCATTCACTGCATCTTATGACTATTCTTGCTAAAAGAAAACCGACGAATTATGGTTTAGAACACCAGTTGGATAGAAGTTGGATAGAACACAAAGAATATAACTATACGTCTTATTGCCTTTTAAATAGAAATGGCATTCTTCTAACTTGGACAGATTAATCTTTTTAACATGGTAACGCTGGTTGAGATGTCACATAAAGTAAGGAGCAATTAACATTATAATTATTTTTCAAAATTTGAAGTAACATTATCTTGAATTTCATTCTATATACTTTTTTATATAAATTATATAAGCTTTATTTAAAGTATATTCTTACAACTGTTTGAAATATTGTTCACTATTAACTGAAAAATTATATATCATATATAAAGTTCTGAAATTGTTTTTACCAGCTCTTGTTTCAGGTTTTTTTTTGTGGGATTTAATTTGAGTTAATTGAAATAAAATAATTGATTTTTTGGAATAACCATAACTATTTGCTTCGTGCATCTTATTTCTTCTCTGAATAAAACTACTTGATTTGGTGACTCTAAAAATGGGGAGAAAATTAATATATTCTGATTAATATATAAATATAAGAATTTAAATAGAAATATTATTGTTTATATATATTAAAAAACTCACAAAGTTCTACTTGCTAGAATAAATATTAAATATTGTTATATTAATTGCATTAATACATAAACAAGTGTCTAACATATTATTATTCAGACTTCTATAGTATCCTTATTTAAAGCAAAAACTATTCATAAAATTGTTTTAGAGATCCATAATTAATTTAGACTATGCCTTGGAGAAAATTAGTGAAAAATCGGATATACTATAATGAAAAAGACTAAAAGATATGTGTATATCACTACATTATGCATTAAGCACTGATTGCAAATAGCTAACGAAAGAAAACAACTGAACAATTCAATTTAGCAGCAACTGTGATGGCTAAGAATTAATTATACGGCTGGGTAGGGACAGTGTGGATAATACGGCTATTTAAGAAAAAAAAAATAATTTTCGAAATTGTTAGATTTATAAAGCAGTTTAAAATAGAAAAAAAATTTAACCAATCCAATACAGTTATATTTTTAAATTATAGAATCTATCAAAACTGAATAGGCAGGCAAAGACCGAAGAAGAAGTGTTATAAGATCGATGATATTGCCAATAAATGCCTATTATATAAGTTAAGCCCGACAATCTATATGATTGTGAACGAATATTCTAAAATTCGTAAAAAAAAGTTCTATCGAATAAAATCATTATTGAATTAAAATCAAATTTGCTGGCTTGCAAATGACTAAAGACCTCTGGAAGTCATTTACTTCAAGAAACAAAGACTACTATTTTTTAATAGAAATTTGATCATAACATTCTACGAGTTCTGAAGCAATGCATTAAGGACTACCAATTTAGAAAGCATATTGTGTTGATTTAATTGAAAAGTTTATTCATTTATTTAAATACAAAAATTTTGCTAACTTGTACAAAACTAATATATTAAATATTAAAATAAGTATAATATATAAATAAATGCAAATCATAGTTTATACAGAAAGATTAACACATAATAAGCCTTTCTATTAACATAAACATATTTGAATTAATTTTAAATATTTAAGTATTTAGTGAGATTAAATTAATAAGATTGAGTTCTGGCACACAAATTTAAGACAAGGACTGTAACTTTGCGACATTAGAGGCAACAATTTGTAAATAGAATTTTATAATGGTATATCTTCAATATTTTCCATAATAAGTATTTTACCAGATAAAAGATCGACTTATATAAATATTATATGTTAATTTTATAGAGCTTCCTGAACAATTTAGAAAAGTATAAACTCGATTTTAATAATAATAGTGGAATTTCCAGTTTAAGCATTAATATAAATATATTCTTCAACTTTTTTTTTCAGTCAATAATAGAGTATATAGATTATATAATATAATAGATTATATAGGAATTTAAGAGGTTGCAATTTTCTAGGAATGTTATGTTTATATTCATTTTTTTATAAATTATTTACCACTAAGAAATGTGTTTTAAGTAAATATTAGTTACAATTATTAATAAAGCTTAAGAAACGTATAGTATAGAACTTAGTTCAGAATAAAAAGAACAATAAGATTGACATTTGACTTAAGATCATATAGAACTCATTTTGAGTAGTATAGGATAGGATAATAATCTATTGATATACATGTATGTTATAATAACAAAGTGCAAATAAATTCATCAGTTACTAAATGATATAGAGGTTTAAACGACAATAATAAGAACAAAAGAAAATTACTTAAATAAATTCAGTGTTGCCATATCGAACCAAATGTTCCTACTGTACACGCTTCTTCCAAAGACAATATTGTGTAAATGTAAATAAGTAAACTATAAAAAAGTAAAAGTAATAAATATACAATTACCAATAACAAAACTTGTTGTTTGTTCACCATGAAGTATATTTAATAAGGTATATTTAATAAGCCATAAAGTAGGATTATCATTATGTCATATAGTGGCATTACCAGTATATAACTATTCAGTTGTGAGGATTATCTATATTAATCAATATTGGCGACCAATTTAATCAATATTGGCGAACATTCCGTTTAAAATGATTTAACAGATCAGGTTGGAAATTGATATCGCCAACAGAAATAAAACTGGTAATATCAAAGACTGATATTATCAATTATATATGATTTTTAGGAAATGTATTTGTTGAAAATAGTTTTATGGTTATAGAACTTCGACTGATAATAAAAATCAACTTTGTAATTTAAAAACTGAAGTTAATTCCATTCATGAAATGAAGATGCACATTATATTTATTACTGGGATTGATAAACAGTAAAGCTAACAATCTTACTATATTTGAAAAAGAATTCCTCAGAAAGATCTCTAAATCACTAGATAAATATGACCTGTATTGCAGATAAATAATTAAAGAAAAATGGTAGAATGTCAGTGTGCAGAACAATTTAGAATTGATGGTTCAAGGGACGACTGACTATATATCACAAAGTCACTTGTCATCTACAAACATAACTTTCATTGAAGTTCTAGTGGTCGCAAGAAAAGTAAAATTAAGCATAGTATCCTCAGAATATATAAACATCCAAGATAGATATTACAAAACCGAAATAATCATTTCCACTTTTGCTTGAGATATGTGCATATACATCTTTCCATTTGAAGTAGACCAATATTAGGTAAAAATATAAAACTAAGATTGAAGCAGAAATACATAATACTATTTAAGATAAGAGTATAGTTAGAAGCGATAGTATAGATGAAAACATTAAGCTAATGAGGCAACACTGATATTGTTAACGAAATAACAATAATATTGTGATATTCTAAATTTTAGGATTGGCAACACTGTTACTAAAAAATTCGTTGAGATAATCATTATTTTAAATTATTATTAAAAATTGTTTTAGTTTTCTAATAATATAATATATAAAAAAAAATCTATAATAAAATTAATAAAGTATAAATAATTCATATAAAAACTATATTTCTACAAATTTGTTACTTAAATTCTTGCTCTACTTTTATAATATATAAATAAGTTATTAAATATTATTAATAATAATATACGTGTATAAATTAAATAATATATAAATCATTTTAAAGTCGAGTATTTTGTACGCTCTGTACATCATCGTCATCATCTTCTTCAACATCATTAATGTGATTGTGATTGAAATTAAAATAACTGCTGTCGGTGTCAAAGGGTTTGTTGGTGATAACAAATCCATTGCTATAAAGTGAATAACTGCTAATTGCCGGTGAGGTGGCTAAACTAGTGATACTTTGATACGTTTTCATTGAATATGCATCACCTATATAACGTGAAATAAATTATAAGAGATATATAAAAAAGAGAAAATGTAGATAAATAAAAAAGCAAGATAATGTATTAGAATAATACAGATTAAATGGTTTAGCAATTTTATTCAGAGGTAATATACATTAAAAAATTAAAAATTATAGGTTAATTTCATACTGAAATATATATACATATATGTGTATTTGTTTTGTACAATATGTTACAATTAACAAAAACTATATATTGCTGAGAAAAAATCTTAAAAATCACCAACACCGTTTAGGATTTATATATATGGTATATGAATTAAAATTAAAATTATATGAATAAAGCTTTTTTAAATGAACATATATGTATGTTTATATGAAATATATAAATTTAGGTTAATGTATATTATTCACTAAGGCAGATGCATATCAAGATTTAAGATGATATAAAATCTTTTTATCTTTTATGTTATCTACCAACACCAACACCGATACCGACACCGACACCAGCAAGTCGAAATTGTTTTCTTTTATTAAATTTTATTAAAAATTTTTCATTAAAGAGATAAAAGCAATATAAAAAAGTATAACGAGAAATTTTGCAACCAGTAGGGAGATGTTGTAGATGAATTCTGAATTTAAGAATTGTTTGTTTTAATACTTATTTCAGAACAATGCTTGAAATAACTTAACCACTTTTGATCCAACTCCCATACTAAAGGAACAAAAATGGCAAAAGTTCCAAACAATAATAAACAACTTAACAAAAGGTAATATTAGATCTGTCGATAAGTGGACATCGTGAAAACGACATATAGTCGTTTTATGATAAAAATCATAAAACTCTTAAAACAATAGTTACGATAGACTGATTAATAGCTATTGACTTATTTTTTTAGGACAGGATAGGATAGGATAGGACTGAAAATAAAATTTAAAAAATTCTAAAACTCATTTAATGTACTCATTATGGCAGACTTTTAAAATGATATCACAAAATGGGCTTAAGAAAACTTACTTAGTGAAGATTTTTATTTTTTAATTTATAAAATAATTAGGACTTATACAGTTGATGCTCAAAAAACCAAGTTAAATAAATATATTAAAATAATCAACAGAGTGCCAACTAACACCAAAGAATAAAAAGCCAAACTACCAGTTTATAGCATCAAAAAAAATGAAAAAATTACAAGGAATAATAAAGATACATAAGCAAAATGTGCTTGCTTATAGCTTTAAAAAAATTAAAGAAGAATGTCATAAGTACTTTATTTAGAAAATTTCTGTATAAATATTTTGTATTCTAAAATAATAGATTTGTGAGAATTCTGATTACTAGTGAAGACAGAGTTTTATAAATATTTAAAACATATAGATAATGCTCAGAGAGCAGAGAAATTTCAGACCATAGAAATAGCATTCATTTTTTTTTGAATTTATTATATTTATTTATAAATAATTTTAATATGTTTACTGTAAATACAATTGTAGAAAAATAATATTATTTGATAACACTAATGACTTAATTATATTAGAGATTAATATTAGACATAAATTTTAAATTTATTTTCAAGATATTGTCCGTCAAAAAAGTAATTAATTTGATATTGATATGACATCACATTCGAAATAGAAAACTACTTTTGTTTACTACTTAAGTCAGCTTTAAAATGTAGGCAGTTAAAAAAGATACTCATTCGATAGAACGCATGCAGAATGGCTTAAAAAATATTGACAATAGGCAGATAAAAAGAAGAAAAAGAAAATACATGAAGAAAGCACAATAAAAAGCACACAAAGTGTAGAAATAATAAATTGAGGCGCTAACATTTGACCTAATCGAAGTTAGCATGTGATAAAGTCAATACCATTTGTTGACATCATTATTAGTTGTTTTGAATTGTTACCCTACAACAGGTCATTTAAAATCTTTAGCCGTATTTTCATGATCGAGTCTTTGAAGTATTGGGTGTACTAACAGTAATGAATGTTTTAACTATCAGACAGTAGCGATAGTGAGTTTGTGTTAAGTGGGTGTATTAGCAAAAAATACAATAGTGTGATTGGAGATATTTTTGTTTGGTAATATATCGAATAAGAAAGTTTTTGTAAAATTTAAACTGAATTAGTTGCAATAATTTTAAATATTAAAGAAGGGCTATATTGGCCCAAGTTTTCTAGTCTCTAGATATGACACTTTGTGAGTTTCCACACTTTAAATAACACTCAAAGAACGGCGGTTTTCAACAATAGATGACATAAAGTCTATACCTTGCTCCAAGCTAAAAACTACGGTAGCATCTATAAATGTATAATATCGAAGGAGAACTACTTTAATCGGTATGGAATATAATCGTATATTTTTACTTTTTGAGAAGTGAGAACTTAGTGTAGAGGCGTTTTACCGAGAGGTGGACAAATACAGAGCGCACGAGTAATATTTTCGTTGTCCTTCTCTGGCATATAACTTCGACAAGAATGTTGAAAAGGAGTCTTAATATATAAAAAAAACAAACTAAATCCTTCCGGTTGAATTTAGGCAATAGATCTTTCATTCTTACACATAAATAATCTGATAAAAGTACTTCTTAAGAACCCGTTTTTCTTGGAAATCTTTTTCTTTCTTTTTCTTGTAAATTTTCAAAACTTATAAAGAAGTATTAAAAAGAATGCACAGTTTCCTTTTAAATGATATAAATTTTGAAATTAATAATTGATTAATTTATTATTAAATAAATTTTAAATTAAATGTATTGCATATAATTAAAATTTAGTCAAGTTGAGCTTTATTCAATTGAACTAATAAACCTGGCCAATTAAATGTAGGGCCTTGCAATTATTATGCACATTTTATCAATTTTTATGAGCTGCACTTAAAGAGATGAAGGCCAAAACTGTGTGACACTGCTTTAAAGCAATCAGTAGATGAGACAGTAGAAGGGTTAGACCACTTCAATGATTTTGCTTGTTATGCAAAGGAAGGCAAAGTGGACAAAGTTTTTTCAAAAGTAACTCTCCCAACTACTTTTACTATTATGATGGCTGCTGCAGACCTTTCATGCACAAAAAAAAAATATATATATATTAAATGCAATAATGTAATAAAAAAAATATATTTTTTTTGCATTTATCTTTTAATGTTTTTAAAATTGTGTAACTTTAGAGAAAAATTTTATTAATAAAAAAACAATAATAGTAACAATAATAAAGCAGCATGAACGAAAGTAAGAGTTAATTGTGAGAAACACGCAATATCATTAAATCAGTAAGAAAAATACTGATAATTACGTTAAGTAAACGAACTAATAATGATGCATTGAATAATGTTCACTTTTTTTACAAAAATATTAAGGTATTGAGGTCTTCTAGGAAATACTTTTTTTACATTTTTAGGTTTTCAATTTTCACATTTCATATAAAGTTGAAAGTAATTAGGTGCAAGATGATTAACATAAATTATTATTAACATTTATAATTACTGTGGTTAGGATTTATCTATATAACACATATATTGGAGCTATGGTTATATCTCTCTTACTTATTTTGCAATCATAACAAAGACAATCGTCGTGATCTACTGTTTAGTAATTAATGGTTACAGTCCACTGAATTTGAATACCGTACGGTAATCATAAGAAAACTATTAAAAGCATTATTGATCCCAATACATTGTGTAAGAAATGCATTAATTGTAAGTTTATGTTTAAAAAACGAATGAACGAAATGACGATGTGGAAAATGTCTTAATTAGCAGACTTAAGTCATCTGAATTCCCATGAGCTTGCCATCAGCAAGCTCATACGGGTTAGTGAGTACCTCACATTATTTCTGACAGAACTGATTAACTGAAACTACATGATTAATTTTCTACATAATTGTTGATTTGTAAATGACACCTATCCTTATTGGTCAAATTACAGTAATCTAAAAATTATGAAATCCCTCTAGAACACTTTATCCTAAAATATATGACCAAGAGGAAAGATATCACTATTTTACCAGACATATATATACTGAATCCTTTAACTCTTAGGAGGAGCATAGAGCCGCTTTCACCAGACCTTTGGAAGAAATAATACCATTGCGAATGATATTGTCTCGTACACAGATGGCTCCAAAACTGAGAAACGTTTGGCCTGGGGCATCTACAACCTAGAGAATCGAATATGGGTCAGTCGAGGAACAATGACCTCAGTATTTCATACTGTAATTTAAGACATAAATATCTGCAGTTATTGGGGAAGTATCATGCTGCACCAAGCTCTTACTCTGAGAAGAAAAACAAATAGCTATTAAATCTGAACAGATTGGATTTATAAAAATTGATTGATTGTCTTGTCTTTTGGTCATTGTCTTTTGATCAAACATAAAGTGTGGCTCAAATTGTCAGAAATTGATAAATACAGACTATGTATGGAAGATAGAGCCTCAGCTCAGTTCGTATACATTACTGAAGGAGAAATTTCACAAAGAAGAAAAGATAAAGACTTCTCTGAATATATCTAAAGTGAAACAAATCCTTCAGTTACTTCAAGAAAGACAACACAACATACAATAAAAATAATATTACTGAAAGTTGACATATGAACTCTATAACTATATAATCGGTGTTACTATTTCACATAATAGCCACATTAAACAACTGACTGTATAGTTACAGTAGTATACAATGCAGTCACTGATATATTACTCAAAACGGTTAAAGAAAACCCAAGACACTTTATATCTTCTAAGTAGGTTATTGACATCATTAAAAACTGCGTTAACCATACACATGAACAAGGGTAAGTCCATGAAAATACTATTGAAAAAGCAACAGCAGTATTAGTTTAAAATATGAACATAAGTTCAAAGTTTGGCTGTATATAGGTTCCAGAGGCAGTCGCCTTTTTAGTGAATCAACAGCCGCTCACCCCTTACAACACGAATTGAAAATCGCCTTCCACCTCACACAACTATTACCCATCCACATCCAACTACAGCAGAGCATAAACTAAAAATCGTATTGATATCCGAATTAAGATGGATCCACATCCAACAACAGCAGCGCATAAACTAAAAATCATACTGATATCTAAATTAAGATGGAACCACATCACACAACAGCAGAGCATAAACTAAAAATCATATTGATATCCGAATTTAGATGGGTCCCAACAAAAAATCAGCCATTATGTAAAACTTAAAAATAAAAATATAACAATATATGAATAAGACAAGAAATGTAAAGTACTAATTTTAACATTCTAAATATATTCTTCCTTAAATCAATTTTTTATATACCTATATATTATTATAAATATATTAAAACTATATATTTAAACCTATGTAAGTATCTTTACAAATTAAGCATTTTAAGGAAGGGACGGATTTTCCGGACTATATTGCTGGTATATATTATACATATATACTATATATATAATAAAGAGAGGGTCTCATTAAATGCGGGTTTTTTAAACATAATTCAATGCTAAAGTCGAAGATGTCTGCTGTTGTTGTAGCCCACAGGAAACTATAAAGCTGATAACATAAAATATGGATAGGTAATGGTAGTAGTGTAAGAAGGGAGGTGATCGTTTAGGAGTAAGAATAATTTAGGAATGGATGGGAAAGGTCTCTTCTGCCAGTACTTTCTCTTCCAAAATTATAATTTTATATATTTATGTTATAAATAAATAATTCAATATTTCTATGAAAACTTATTATTAAAAAATTTATTATATATCAGGTAGAACGAACCGAAAACTGACGGTGGTTTGATTTCCCTCACTTCTTTGGAAATACTAATATATATATTTACATATATACAAATTTGTACGCACAGTTAGAAAAAATAAAGGTTTCTGTATAATTATTAAGTGAGAATAATATAAACTAGAAACATAAATAAAAATAATTTAATAAAAACGAATATAATCAACATTATATTGAACGATGTTTGTACGAATTGTTGAACGGTTGCAATTGCTTGCAATTCTAAATGGCTTTCTACTGCCACATCTTCTGATGTTTAGATTATTATAAGAATATCTATCTCAAAGCAATTTAAACAAATTTTGTGTATAATTTAAACTGATAAATATATGTTAAACCTTTATATGGTTATTCGTTATAATTTTATTTCTATAAATTTCTTATGAAAATTTATTTGTATAGATGAGATAAGTTTGCAAAATTATTTGATTGTACAAACGAAATGATAAACTTATATTTGAGAATATATCACTATCAGATGGTTTATTTTACTGGCGAAATATAAACAAAAGCTTTCACAAATAATGTACAGTTGGTAGGTAGTAGGTAAACTTATCAGTTCAAATGAATCCCCTCTGTGAGATACATGAAAATAAAATATGGTATTAAACGAAAGATTAAATTAGATAAGCTTAAATACACTCCCGTCACAACCTTATGGTAATTTATAACAGCGTTAAATCACTAATTATTTACAATAATTGAAATTAAATGCGTTTTGATCTGTATATTTACACACTATTTTTGACTTTAGTATAATTTATAATAAATATAATTAAAACTATAAGATTTTTTTTATACAATTTTTTTTTATATGTAAATATAAAAAATAAGAAGTTGTACAATAAGAAAATACAAAAAAAAAAAATTCTGAAAATTAAAAATTAACATAAAAAAGCGACTGAAATAGTTTTGCGTTCTGATAGAAATAATTTATATTTAAATTAACCTCCAAATCTTTCTCAAATCTCAATTTAAATATTTTTTTGCTTATTGTACAACTTCTTTGAGAAATGTATATGAATAAAAATAGATAGTTTAGTAGAAAGTAAATAGCGGTAAAGAGAAAGATAAGATAGTAAATAGCGACATGTATAAATATTATAATACATTAAAAAACAACATAACTTACCGGTTGCGCATTCTGACGTCTCATATGAAACTGTTGATTGTACTTCAATAGCGTTTTGCTCTTGCCTGTAAATTATAACAAAGATATCAATATAATTTACATTTTAATTTTACATAATTTATATTAACTACTGTATTTTAGTACGCACCTAGATATCACATCATTTATAACTTGTTTTTCGGTATCTGTATATTCGGATCTTCGTCGTCCAATTTTCTTCTCAATATCAGCCTCTATGAATTGTCCCAATGGTTTAGTCGGAAATTCGTTTGTCTTTGGCGGCGGAGGTACATCTAATTTCAAATCTTTTAATTTTTTCATTACTCTCTCTAATGCCTCAACCACATAATCATCGTTGTAACCAAAATTTTTATGCAATTTAACCTGCAAATACTCAATTATCGAATCCATATCCTTAAGACGTAACAGTTCATGTTTATGTAGGTAAAGTATAGTAATGGCCATAGCAGTTATAACACGATCGCCCTCAAACAAAAATATATCCCAGACACGTAAACTTAAACTAAACGGAATCTGTAATTATAAAACAAATACAATTTAGAAATAAAAATACTACTAAGTATAAGTATAAGAATCGTCTCTCTCTGTTAGATACTCACTCTTTCTACAAAAACTACAAAAAACCATTTAATAGAATATAATATTGCGTCGACATTATTTTTGACAAAATGTTGATGTAGCTTGCGCATAATTTTTGACATAATGCGATCATGATGTTCTAGAAATCTTTGTAATTTTGGAAAACCCTCTATAAACAGCCCATGCATGGCAAACTTCTTATCAACTATTAGTGTATTGAGTGCCCAAAATGCTTCTTCCTCTTGCATATAAAGTAGCAACACTCCGGCCACACATGCCATACCTTGGCAATAACCTAATTCGGGATTGTATATACTATAAGCATTGAGTACGTTGAACAGTGAACATTGTTTAACGCTGTAGCGTTGACGATAGGCATGATTATCACGAAATTGACGATTCACATCTGAGTCAATTTGACGCACTTCTGTTGAATATTTTCGCGCTAAACTAAGCATGCGAGAGTATATATCTTTATTGGCAGCTATTGACTCATCGACATTCAGAAATTTTTTCCAAGCTGGCCACCGCATTCGATCGGGTATACCTTTAAATACACGTTTGCGCAGCTTTTCGTTATGTATATTCCATGATGTGAACATTTTCATCCATTTCTTATCACGTTCCAATTCAATTTTGGTGCGTTGCACTTCTTGTGAATCGCGTATATCGGGCAGGCGGGAATCATGTATGAAGCCGTATCTATGCAGAGAAAGGAAGAAATAAAAAAATTTCAAATATTTTACAAACTTATAACAAATATTGTATAATATTATATATAAAGGTTTGCTTGCATGCGATATTATTTAATAAAATACAAGTGCAACTAAAACTTCAATAAAATAAAGTTCAGTAGTAATAAACTACAAGTAAAATAAGTGCTGTACAATAATAATACTGAATGATATAAAAAATATTATCAAAATTATTTTAGTGATTCTAGTTTAAGCCGTGGTATAACAGCAGGTCATTATATAAGTTAAAGTGGTATTTGGCCACTAAGTTCCAATCTAATTTCAATCAAACCTAACATACTAATATACTAGCAAACAGTTGATATTTATATCGTATGTACAAACATATTAGATGTAAATAGCAAGCGACAAATTGATTTCGAGTGAATGAATAATAAAATCTGAAAGCGAATCTAATATATTTAATGAGAGATGGAAGTATTTATTACGCATTTCGCTTCTAAGGAATAGTATATGCATAATATTGTGAATAGTAAGCAAACGATTCAATTACGAATCAATGAATACTCCCATCCAAAAGCAAGTCTTGAGAAGTATGTAATAAATTTGAGGCGTGTGAAATAAACACAAAAATGTTACTGAACAATGAAGTAGTCTATTCTAGTACAAGGAGTACTAATGCTATATGTACAGAAATGATTTATAACTTGTAAATAGTAAGTTAATAAATCAAGGAGAATGTAAGAAACCTAAATTAAATCATATGAGCAGTCAAGTGACTTATAAGCTGATATCTAATATAAAGTTTTGGCATAGAGAATTATATTATTACGAAATGAATTTAGTTTGTGGCCTGAATTATTTTTAACAATATTTATTCAAGCTTGAATTTAAATACAATTCAATTTATTTGTTCTACATAGATTAATTGATGAACGCTGAGCAAATAGTTATCCTTTACTTTATGATCCAAGTCACAAATTTGGTGTAAGGTTTAAAATTGGAAACCTGATAGAACAGAAGGAATAAATCACTTCTCATTCAGGTAATACTTTTGCTGCTGTGATAATTACAAATATAATAGAGTACCAAAGCTAATGTAGAACAGGCGCTTTTCTAAATACAAACGAAAATAAAACGAATAGTCAAATTAACTGATTATTGAGATTTGATGCTGACGATATATCTTTGATGGTACTAGAAAAATAAGGGTTTAAAATAACATTTACAATACATTTAAATATAAAAAATGTTATTAAACTAAAGTAGAACTTAACAGAAGAACTTTTTAATGGAGGCAGACTCTATCAACAACTCGTCATCAGATATATCTAGCAATAAAAACAAGCTTTTATGTGCAACAAGAACTCATTTCAATATAAAACTGCTTGTTTACTAGTTATGAATCCAGAATTAACACATCTGTTATTCCCAATGTGTATCTCAAAAATAGTTTTACTCCTCATAATATTACTAATTTGCTCACCTGTTCCAATGGTAACATGTTCATTCCTTTTTACTGATACTAAAGGATTCTAAACCTTGGCCTAGAATAGTTCAACACTCTCTCTCTCTCTCTATCTTTCATTACCTTTCCCACTCTGTTTTTGCTTTACAGGTTTTCTGATTTGGTGACATCCAAAAAAATAACTACAATCATAGAATTAATTCAAATATTCAACCTAAAACGTTTTCACGATGTAAATATCTCAATATCGAAAAGGTTATGAAAATATTTTTAATTACGTAAGTTACATACTTGCATCCAATAATGGTAATGTAGAAATGAAAGTAAAAATTTCATATGCATATATGGGAGAAAATACATTTTAGTGTGCCTTTATTGTCGAAATAGCCGCACAGTTTTTTTATTAAATTATGGTTGGTAGCAAGACAAACAAAAAATATATATATATATTAAATATATATTATATTTTATGTATTGTATGTGATATATCGTCGCCATAATTTTTTCGTCTTATTATTATGTGATAAGCATAGAGTGAGCAATATTTGCTGCATTGTATTCTGATTTCTATGTGTACAACAAAAATAAATTTTTTATAAATGAAAATACTTATACACTGATTTAATGTAATCAAAATTCATATATTTTTATTAAAAAATTGGAAATCATTGAAAAATTAATTTATTTCGAATTATTAAATAAAATATATCATATCAAAATTGTGACTTTTAAGATAGAAATAACGAATTGATTGATGCATTTATCGGAATAAAAACTATTTATAATTGGAAGATGAAAACAATTTATCAAAACATTAAATATATATAGTTAGATAGTCAGATAAAAGGACAAGGTTAGCCTCATTTCCAAAGAATGATTCTTGGGTGGTAAGTCTTATCGAGAGTGGTAAGCCTTACCACTCACATAGGAAAGAATACTATATATTCCCAAAAAATTTCACAATTTTTATTATCAAAACAAATTTATTAAATCTTTATAAATAAAAAATTATGTACATAAATCATAGCATAGCTGTGTGTCATAATTTTTTTTTATACTAAAAATATTTGAAACAAATTCAAAAAAAAAAAATTCATAACAATTGTTTGGACCTTTTTTTGCAAAAAATTTAATTTAATTTAAAAAATTTCGTATAATACAAAAATTTGGAAATTTTATATTCTGATGTATTCTTCAAAATATAGTAATGTGTTTGCAAATGGCTTCAACAATGAATTAGTCATCAATTGAAGGATCTAAGCGTATGGTAAGTCTAATCGAAAAAATATAGATTTCAATATAATAATAATAATTGAAATAATAAATTTTATTAGTTGCTATTGGATATAGAGACAAAAATCCTTACTATCATTCATTAAAAACAGCATATAAATAACATAATTACATTGAATTTAAAACAATTATGAAGGAAATATTTTCTTTCCGCTTATGCATGTAGTTAATGTTCAGTTTAAATGAAATGTATCTATTAAAATAACCGAAGGTCAAAGAATCAGATAATACCGAAACAAATATAAAACAAATAATATAAAGCAAATAATTAACAAGAACAGAAAATTGCTAGCTAACTGCACTAAAAAGATAGAATAAAACTGAGAAAACATTTATGTTTAACACTACTTATATATACAGTTTCAAAGTTAAAAAGATAGAAGTAAAAATACACAAATAGTGAGATAGTTAAAACTAAATAGTTTTTGAACAATCAACTATTAAGTGGAAACTTAAATTTTGGACACACCACTTCTATTCGAGAAATTATTTTGCCGTTAAAATAACATATGCAATGTCTTCAATGTTACTGTTTTTCTCGTATAAGTTACAAGAGTTGTATGAATTATTGTATTTTACTTTATATATTCTACACTTAATTGTTGATCTTATATATCCAATCTTTAATCTTAGTAACACAATTAATGGGATGTGTCCAACCACTTCAACTGTGAGAACTCCAAATCGCTCAATGTCTTCAATATACACCTTAAGAATATGGTACAGATATTTAAGGAAGTAATAACCTATAGCAGATAAACGCGTTCTGGCGGTTTACTTCCTTCTTCCGCTTGAGAAATCACTGTGCCATTAGAATAGGACGTACAGTGTCTTTAATGCACAGACATTTAAGGATGGAAGAACCTATAGCAGACAATTAAAAGCAGAAATAATCTATAGTAGATATACGCGTTCTGATGGGCTAATCCATAGCTTGTTTAAAAAATCACTATCATTTAGATAAAACAAGCAATATACACATTAAGAATATAGGAACGACATTTAAGGAAGCAAAAACCTGCGTTTGAGGAAGTATATAGCTGCGTATCGTCAAAATATAACACGTAAAATGTGTTTAATTCGCCTATTATCAACAACTTTGATAATAGTCACTGAAAGTAGCTCCCATCTGATGCTTATAATATAACAGCCTTATCAAAATTAAACTGAATTAGATCTTATCTAAATTAATTTAATATTAAAAGATTTCTGTAAATTAGCATTTCAAAATTCAGTGTTAGCATTTTATTAGACATTGGAAAAAATACGTTCCACCGAAATAAATACAATTATATTAACCTTAAACTTTTACTAAATAAAAATAGTAGATTGGTACAAAAACGATACAAAGCTGGTGCCTTCACAAAGCAAAAACTGCTCTCCACTGCTTGTATTATTTTCAGGGAAGCGTTCTGTAATTAAAGAAAGCGCGTACGCAGAAAAGAAATTTGATAAACGTGCTTGTACTATAAATAAACAAACAAAAGAAGTGCAGCGGACGCGATAAGAAAGCGAGGTTGTAAACAAACAGTTATGTTTATTAGAGAATGCAAATAAATATTTTTTTATGCACATTCCCAGTTTTCTAATATCTGAAGAATATAAAAATATTTTTTTTTTTTAATTTTTTATAATTATTTTACTCTTGAAATGAAATTCATATCATTTTTTTAATGCTTTATTAAAATATTGTGCGTTTATATATATTATTTTTATAAATAATTTGATAAGAAGAACATTGGTTTAAGAAGATTTTACGTTTCGATAAAAAAAAAGAATATATAATTTTCAACTTACTTGTCGGTTACATGGTAAAGTTCAAACGTAGGGTTCTCCCATGGATCGACCTCATTCTTTGGATCTAATCCTAAAGCGTATCGATTGAAAATCATTTCACGTTCTTCCGTGGCGCGTTTAAGCAGCGCCTCTTGCTCATCATCCATGGTCATCATATTTACAATCGTTTTTATTTCACAATTGTTTAAATAAAATAAAAATAAGAGGGGCGGATGTGAATTATCTATTGCTACTTTCCTTTCCTTTACTTAATGTGTGCAAATAAATAATTAAAATGTATCCGCTATTTATTGGCAAGAATGTTGCATATAAAATATATGTTAATTATAAAATAAATTAATGAGATTTCATAATAATTGCATTAAATGGAGAGAAAATCTTTTTTTTCCGTTTCAGGATTTTCTTTATGTTCAGAAAGATTTCATTTGATTTTCTTGCTGAATTATGTGCCATTTATGTATTTCTGTATACTTAAAACTCCAAAGTAAATTATTCACTTATTTTGAATAACTTGCACATTAAAAACCCATCGCTCCAGGGAAAATAGCATATATTTTTATTACTTAAATGATAGTAGAGCACAAGCACGCAATGACGTGATTTTTGTCCGTCCGCGTTTGCAATATTCATTCATTAAAATAAGACGCCCCCACCAACGCACTTTATCACATCACTAAAAATTTATTCGTTTTATTATTTCACTGACTAAAATTATTACACACTTGACGATATTTTATATCAAAAAAAAATAAATTTTAATTATTTGTTTTCATATTCCGAATTTTGTTATTTCCTTTTCAATTTTTGTTTTGAACTTTCTTTGCTTCTCTCCTTTCCAAGTGTTTTACTAAATTTCTTTTTCTTTTAAGTTTTTATAATACTAATAAAATATATAAATTTAACTTTATTAAACAGTTTATAATTTATTTTAAACAAAGCATATATTGGAGTAATTTACTACATTTTGTAATTTTGTTTGTGTTTCTTCACCGCACACAACTTCTCAGAAAAACTTTCCTCCAACACAGCACTTCAACTAAAATAAAATACTGCTGTCATTTAATATAAGTGTATTTTGCTTGTTGGCAGTGTCATAATTTTTAAGTACAGCGGCTTTCATATATTAGCTATCATACATGAATGATGACTTACAAACATTTAAATTCATCAACAGTAAAGTGTGTAAATTGTTACTTAGACGGATGCATAAAACATATATATACGATTGGTTTTGGTCGAGAACTATTGTTCAGATTGATTAATTAGGTTGAGGCTAGTTGAGTCAATGCATTCTCTATTAACTGGGAGACTTTTGCATAACTCCTCTCTACGCTGGATTAATGTTTTTCACTTTAAAACAATCGTCCACAGATCTGCATACCTCCCAGAATTTTGCGCAATATCTCACAGTTAATATCGAATTAAAAAAAATCTTAATTTTAGATGGATCACTGCATTTGTACTATAAATATCCCACAATTGTCATTATGACATAAATATGTCGATCTATTTAAATAGCTTACATAAATTAAGTAACATTCCAATAAGTGTATATTCGAGATGTATATCAAAATATTTACATATTCTAATTGACTAAGCAAATGTGCAACAAATATTTTAATGCAGAAAAATTTTTTATTTGCGGTAGGCACAAAGCATCGAGAGCCGTAGTATGCAATTCGAACCCACTAAAATCATCTCTTAAGAATCCAAAATGGACAAATTTCAGTCATTAAACTATAAAAGTCAAAAGCTGAAACCCTTCTCCAGTAATCATGAAAAAGGCAGAAGGCTTGGTATTACGACAACAAATATATCTAAGCCGAACTTGGTAACGTGTGAGGGAAGGAAGCGAACATGTTTTTGGCAGAAATTTCTGACTATGAGTAAACTCATTTATTACAGAATTCGCACAAAAATTTGCTAATAAGGTTTGACAATTGTAAATGCAAACAGTATAAGAACTTAAATTTTAAATCACTTCACAGTTTTACAATTCACCCTGTTTCATATGGCAGCACTGAAACTCTTTTGTTTTGATGTTTTGTATATTTTGCATACCGGTTTCACGTTTTCGTTTTATAAACAAAAACGGAACTAAATTATAAGTTAAAGCTTTATATATGAATTAAAAGTTTTATAAATTTTGATGTCTAACGTTTTATAAAAATACTAAACAGCAGAATAAAAACATTTCCAAAATATGAAGTACGTTTATTTTGCTTTACATTATCTTAAATAAACATTTAATGATATTAATTTTATTAATTGTAATTATATCGTAGGCTTAGTGTGGATGGTTTATTAGTTTATTTCCCATATGAATACATATATCCCGAGCAATATGCTTATATGCTCGAGCTGAAACGCACACTTGATGCAAAAGGTCATTGTTTGTTGGAAATGCCTTCTGGGACTGGAAAGACAGCCACATTATTGTCTTTGATTGTAGCTTATATGCTTGAATATCCAGAGACTGTGCGGAAACTTATATATTGCTCGCGTACAGTACCAGAGATAGAAAAAGTCATCGCTGAATTGCAGAGCCTTATGAAATACTATGAAAGGCATGCACAACCTACTGGTCTAACTGGATTAGTATTGAGTTCACGTAAGAATATGTGTATTCATCCACAAGTAAGTGGGGAGCGTGACGGCAAAAGTGTTGATGCAAAATGTTTTGGTTTAACTGCGAGTTATGTGCGAGATCGACATTCAGTAGATGCAGACACACCTATATGTAATTAGAAATTAACTTTCGGATCCATTAAATACAGTTTTAATTATACTATTATATATTGTTAAAAGGTCAGTATTACGAGGGTTTCAGTTGTGAAGGTAAGGAGTCAACATTACCCTGCGGTGTTTATAGTTTAGATGACCTAAAGGAATTTGGACGTATGAAAAATTGGTGTCCCTACTTTTTAGCACGACATGCAGTAAATAAAATTTATAACAATAATTACTCTTAATTTTATTAAACTAATATCTTACAGATACTACAAGCTAATATTGTAGTTTACAGTTATCATTATCTTTTGGATCCAAAAATTGCTGAAGTGGTATCTAAGGAATTAACGAAAGAATCATGTATAGTTTTTGATGAAGCACATAATATAGATAATGTTTGCATTGATTCGATGAGTGTTAAAATCAACAGACGCATAGTTGACCGCAGCACAAATGCATTAAATAATTTACAGAAATTAGTAGAAGAGTATGAATATGGTTTAATTTTTAAGCAATTACAATTTACTAATATATGTGTTTTTTTACAGCATACGCAATGATGATATAAATCGATTAAACGAAGAGTATCAACGAATGGTGCAAGGTTTGAAAGATGTTAGTGAACAACGTGAAACAGATATGGTTCTAGCAAATCCCATTCTGCCAGCTGATGTTTTGAAAGGTATCCGACAAATTAAATGTTGTAATAATATATTAAATCATATAAAACTAATTCACAGAGGTTGTTCCCGGTAACATAAGAAATGCTGAGCATTTTCTTAGTTTTTTACGCAGATTTGTAGAATATTTAAAAACTCGGTTGAGAGTTCATCATGTTGTACAGGAATCTCCCGCAGGTTTTTTAAAAGATGTTCAGAGCAAAATTTGCATTGAACGCAAACCACTGCGATTTTGCGCTGAGCGTTTATCAAGCATGATGCGCACTCTTGAAATAACAGACCCAGCTGAATATGGCAGTCTGACATTGGTAAGTTATTATTAATACTGACCATTATAAAACTTGTTTATTCCTTTAATAAAACATTACAAAAGACAACGACAATTTTAAAAATGTAATTGGGAACATTGGCTTTTTCAATCATTATGAATATTGATTTCGGGAGAGAATATATTCAAATACTACAACAAATAAGTCTTTCTTACAACTTTCTACCATTAAGAAGGCTTTCGTAAAGATAACAAAATTCACAAACTTATGGAATCAGCACTATAGCTGCGCCTGAGATTTTTAAAAAAATCCATACCTTTACCTTTCGGTATATTTAAATAGAATGTTCTAATCTTCTTTAATAGTTTAGTCTAATGTTCTATCATGAACAACTTTACGATATATAACATTAGTTCGTAGAAAACAGAAGGAATTTTTTATCCTTCTAGTCAAAAATTAGCGTTATCCAGGCTATAATGCACAATTATTGTTTGATTTCTTGTTACTGTATTTTAACCCTTAACTAGAAGAAGAGCTGAATATTTCAGTGTCTCACTATAAGTAAAAATATGTTTCTGTTGTAAAGAATGCATCTTTTATGAAATAAAATAGTTTTATTAAAATTTTTATAATT